GTAACCTTCACTGCATACTAAAGAAAAAGGACCTATGCAGAGACTAATGCTTAATGCACATCTGTAATCAGTAAGATACAAAGACAACAGGTAGTCTATAGGATGAAATGGATAATATTAAAAAGTGAGTATATAAACAGGCAGTGATACTTCATGACAAAGCCCAAAAGGCAATACTTGTAGGGACATTTTAAAAGAATATATTGCACAATTAGAAATTGTTCACAGAAGAAAATAACAAGAAATTAGGGACAAGGAAAAACTCATCAGTGAAGAATGATGAGAGAGACTGATGAGACAATTCTTTTCTGAATGAGGTATTAAAGGGAAAGAGGCACAATAAAAGCATACAAAACAAAGTTAAGCCAGGGAAGGTATAAGTTTTCCCTCCTTCATCCTCTATCAGTGAGGAAACAGTACTAAACTTCAAGATGTTCCACGAAATTTGCAACTGTCCCATTTCAAAATAGTCAATGAAAGCACCGTGTTCTCATTGCCAAAGAATTTAGGCTATGCTAAGAATTTAGAAAGACTCAAAGTGGGTTTCTATCTTTATATGATGAAAATTTATATAACTAATGCTAAAACTCTTTGTAGAATCTAAATTGTCAGGATTCACATGTTAAACCAAGGTCATACTATCTAGGATTAGGAGTAGATTTTCTTAGGGATCTTCTTTATTCACTACACAGCTCCTGCATCTTCCTCCAAGGCTTCTGATCCTGACAACTGTCAGAAAAAGGCCATTGGAAAGAGACGCCGTGATTTTGATCCATCACTTCAATATTACTATATAATGTGTCCTAAAAAAGGATACTGAAGAGATAAACCAGACTGTGTATGACAGCATCTCGTTGAACACTATGTTAGCTCTGGTTTCTAATTTCAAGGGCTATCCAAATTTATGGTGACTGTTCCACAGTCAGAATCCAGAGTAATAAAACCTTCAAATAGCAATTTCCCCTTTTTGCATTCAGTCTTGCAGCGCTAGTCTAACTCTCCAAACTCCTCTTAAATTTTATTATTGGTGCTCATTTGGCTGGATATCAAGACAAATTAGCGAGTTCGAGTTGTGGAGATTTGTTGAGAGCTTTTGATTTTAGGGCAGAACCAATTATTGCTGAGCATACTGCTCCAGCTCTGACAAGAGGGTTAAGTGGCTTGATTCATATTTGCATTCACGCAGCACTCATGTACAAAAAGGTAAGTAGTGGAGATTGTTTAGCAGAGACAGGGAGAAAGGACGTGCATGTCTCCCAGTTTTGTAAACTACTCATCAGATGAAGCAAATTGCTAGTGCATGCACACATGAGCACAAGCAGCATAAAGATCGTCCTTTCGCTTTTTTAGGCACATTGCTACATCAGTGCCTGAGACTTAGGGCTTCACAGGTCTGGTTTTCATTAAATCTGCCAGAGATGTATGGACTGCTAACACTTTTTGTTGTACATGACTGTTAATATGAATAGATTCTTATGCATGAAAATTCCTAATTATGCAAATAATTGATCAGTTCCACTTCAGCCCTTTTGAAAATGATGCATAATATACCTGTTAAATTGAGGACTGATATGGAAATGGAGAGAGTGGAAGATAAAGCAGAATTCATTGTATTTTAAAATGGTAAAAGTATATTTAACTGATTGCGTGGGTCGTTTAATTTCTTTTTATTTTATTAAGAAGGTTTCTCATACAATAATTATTTTGTTTCCTATATAGTGATTATTTTCTATACCATAGTATATTACAACATTTGCCAGCATAGCATAGGTGGTAACTGTAAACGACACAACTCATCTTAAAAATAAGAAGCCCCATCACTCCCCAAGTAACCCTATCAATCAGATTTTTTATTAATTCAGGTAAGATCTATTTCAAATTGTTCTCTATTCTGTAAGTATGAATAAAAAATTTTGCAAGGCTTGATAGAAAAGAGTCCATTTAATCAAAGTTCCTCAGGAAGGCATATTCCCCAGTGTATTTGTCTTTTTTTCCCTCCTCATCATTTATCCTGTATCTTATGTCTGGCATTCTAGAAGGCAAACATTTTTCAGAGCTTCTAAAACACCTCAGGCTATGCCTACAGCTACAGATATGTAACCATATGGTTCCTTAATTACTTAAATCACTATGTAAGGCCTATGTGCTAATGTTCAAGACACATTTCACTCTGGTGTTAGCCCAAGGGGACCCATCTGATAGCTTGTAACCTCATGACTTTGGCATTGCTTGCTTTGCTTGTGTAGCATTTCCTTCGTAACTCTCTTAAAATATAAGGGTCATTTCTCAGACAGATACCTGCTGACTAAAAACTGTGGAGTCTTCTTGCTTGAAAACCTCACTGTATTGTTACTGCTCACTGTATATGTCTAGCTTTGTTCCTTTTTGCAGTTTTGCAGATGATACAAAACTGGGAGGAGTGGCTGATCCACTGATGGTTGTGCTACCATCCAGAGGGACCTCGACAGGCTGGAGAAATGCTCCAAAAGGAACCTCATGAAGTTCAGCAAAGGGAAATACCAAGTCCTGCATCTGCAGAGGAATAACCTCTAGCACCAGCAAAGACTGGGTGCTGACTGGCTGGAAAGCAGCTCTGCAGAGAAGGACCTGGTGGTCCTGGTGGACAACTAGCTGAACGTGAGCCAGCAATGTGCCCTTGTGGCAAGGAAGGCCAACAACATCCTGGGCTGCATTAGGAAGAACGTTTCAAGCACATCAAGGGAGGTGATCCTTATTTTCTGCTCAGCACTGGTGAGACACACCTGGAGTGCTGGGTCCAAGTGCAGAGCTCCCCAGTACAAGAGAGACATGGACATACTAGAGTGAGTTCAAAGGAGGGCCATGAAAATGCTTAAGCAGTTGGAGCATTCGACATATGAGGAGAGGCTGAGAGAGCTGGGACTGTTCAGCCTGGAGAAGAGAAGGCTCAGTGGGATCTTACCCATCTGTATGGATAGATGGATTTACCTGAGTAAAAGGACAGAGCCAGGCTCTTTTCAGTGGTGCCCAGTGACAGGACAAGAGGCAATGGGCACAAACTGAAACAGAAAACTCCATTTAAACATAAGAAAAAGCTTTTTTTACAGTGAGTGTGATCAAACACTGGAGCAAGTTGCCCAGAGAGGCTGTGGAGTCTCCATCATTGGAGATTTTCACAACGTGACTGGACACAGCCCTAAGCAACCTGCTCTAGCTGACCCTGCTCTGCAGGGGCTAGGACTACAGACCTTGGGAGGTGCTTCCAGACTCAACTACTACGTGATTTTGTAGTTCTGCAATACTACTTTTTTAAAAAAATCATACCTAAAGGCAATTTACTTCTTCCTCTCTACAAATAAAAGTTTCAAGTTTGGTAAAAGACTTTCTAAAAACTGCTGGATTTCTTTGATCTTGTCCCCTGAAATATGAGGGGGGAAAAAATTACACAGCCACTTCCTAGTGAAAGAATAAAAATAACTTCATCTCTCGTAAAAGGACAAGAATATTCACTGCATTTCATTCAAAATAATAGAACCAAGCATTCCAACCCTATTTCAATAAGATTGAAGATTATTAAAAACATTTTGACATTCATTTACCTGATGCTGTGTGTCCACCACTTGCACACTGGAAAACACTGTTTTCTGTAGTTTGTCAGAGGGAATCCTTTCTTTCACATTTGACAATGTTGCCTATGAGCAGTCTGTGACTGAATAATCATAATCTTCGATTATGACCAATCCGTGACTGAATGTTATAGCCATGCTATCAAGCAGAATTCCTCCATCTCCACATCCTTCATTCTCTCATCCTATTATCCTATTTCCTCTTCTTGTTCTGCCTTTCTCAAAAATACATTGCTGACAATAATTATGTTCATCCCCATGTTGGAACCATGTTCTCAAAGGTATCCAGTGGTGTATTACATTCCTGCTGACCAAAGGGATCACCATGCCAGGGATATGGGAACAGACAAAATGAAGAAGGCTGTTTGCTAAGTTGGAATTTTTCTTTCTACAAGATCAACATATTGCAACAAAAGCAGTACCTTTCAGTATTGTTGTGTGATATCACCAGGATAAAATGTATTACAATAAAGTAGACTTTAAACATGTTAAGCCTCCACAGAATAAACAGATTTTGGAGTATTAATCTCCTCAAGACCTGCACTAAAAGAATACAACTAAACTCTGTCCTTTCAACTAAAGTCTCTCCATTTCCACATCAGTCTTCAATTCCGTAAGTGTGTTATGCATTATTTTCAAAACTTTCTTCTCCAATTCAGTATTTTCTGCTTGAAATCTTGTCCTCTTCTGGCTGTTGTTGAACTTGTGCATCCCAAACTCAATTCAACTAATTTTTCTTTTTTTAACCTAAGTTTCCTTTTCTACTTTTTCTGTAATGAGTGTTATGCATTATTTTCAAAACTTTCTTCTCCAGTTCAGTATTTTCAATCTTGAATCTTGTCCTCTTCTGGCTGGTGTTTGAATTTTGCATCCCAAAATCAATATTTTTTTTTAAAACTTAAAGCTTTCTTTTTTCTTTTCCCCCCCCCCCCCCCCCCCATTAAAAATTAAAAAAAAAAAAAAAAAAAAAAAAGAATACTATCTTCGTGTGTTCCCACTCACTCCATGGTATTTAGCTCCTATTTATGATTCCTAATGGCTCACAAGCTACCTTTTTTACCTTTGTATTCTGCTATCCAGCCATTATAGTAAAGTACTATGAACTGACATCCTTCCAAAACTGTATCTCTGCCCAGTTCAAGAGTACATTTGCTAGTCTTAAAACTCCACAGAGCCCTGGCTGAGTATGTACTCTGGTTGAGCTGCTGTATTTGACAAGTAAACCCCTTATATTTACTGCCTATGTTTGAATTTAGAATGACAGTTATGAGAAGTTTACTATTAAGGAATCAAGTTTTGACCTTCTTGGCCACAGAGTACGTTACAGTTTTGGAGCAAAAACAAGGAGATGATAGTTTCTGCCACAGTTTTCAAGAATCATCAGAGAATGTTCACCTTTATATATGCCATTGTATCCTCCGTGGACTTCTCCAAAACTGGAGATTTCTTCAACATGAGCCCCTTGGTCAGACGTAAAGTATACAAGAGTTTTATCACTCAGATTATATTTCTCCAGCACATCCAGAATCTGCCCTAAAAAAAAAAAAGAAAAACACAGAAAAAAAGAACAGCTTTAATGTCTTCAGGTGGCTTTTTTCATTAACCTTGGCACGTACAAATATTTTTGTCCTTTTGCCTTTTCAAGATCGCTTTCCATCTAAACATTATTATACATAGCAATTGGCACTGTGCAGCATACAGTAGGGGACAATTGCACAAAGCTTGTTGCAATCAGGACCATGGTTCGATTGCTGCAGGGTTTCTTGAAATACAAAATGAGAAGATTTGTGCACATCAGAGAAAAGGGCTAACCCACAGAGAGCCAGTGACCTTTGGAAGCAGTTGCTCTCAATCAAGGAAACCCCTCAGCAAGAAGATTCAAACCGCTGAGGATATCTGAAAGTCTCAGCATGCAGAATAGAGCTAAGAGTTTGGGGGTAAAGCTTTGCTGCCTAGCAACCTATAGAGGCAGCATGGCAAAAATCTCAGTGTGATGTTAGAATAAGACATTCTAAGAAAAAAAAGGAAGTTAATGTATGGAGTGCCTCTGGAGACCACACGGTTTCATTATCAAACCTACTAATTAGTCCCTAATTTCTCATCATATAAGAACAGACATTGACTAAACTCAAAATGTGCAAGGTAATAAACACACACACGTGCACATATTTAAAAGAAGAACACGGATATGCTCTGAAACTGCAAGGCACTGTGGGCTCACATTTCTTTTTCACAAAGGGCTCCTCACACTACCTTGGCACTGTGGAGAGCCTTGCAGTGCACATAAATTACATTTAAACTTATTTAGACTGAGTTCTTTAAAGAGGGTTTCTGTATGAATGAGAGTGAAGTCGCTCTTTGTAACTTGCTCCAGTGAATTTTATACTGATCAGGAATCTAAAATTATTGGTCCTGGAAACCATCCAAAGTATAAGAATATACTTCTTCACATCAGCCTGCAAATGAACTTTAACCTTGTCCTTTAGGGATCCCAGAGCATATAAAGATAATTCTGTCTTCACAACCTTTTTATCTTTATTCTTTTTACTTAAACATCCAAGAATGGTCCAATTTGAATGTTAATTTTGATTTGCTCACCTGTCCACTAAGAATTAATTCATCAGCTGATGCCCAATTATTGGTCAAAGAGGATGAGATAAGAACTTTGAAATACAGAGCCTTCTTTAACGATTTTCGGATCATCATTTCTGTTACTATGCTCTTTTTTCTGGATAAGTAGCTACCTTACCTTATTGCAACTATTTCTACTTGTCTTTTAATGTTATAGCATTCTAAAATTCCCTTGTTAAGAAGGTTGACTGTTTTCATTTCTCATCAGCTCAAATGACTGGGTCATGAATAAAGGAGCATCGGCAGTTAAATAAGTGATACCTGTCGGTCTTATTTGTAAACTAGGAGCAAAGAATAAATGTGAGAGTAGGAGAATTTATTTATGTAAATTTTGAAACCTTGTGGGAGTTGAAATTTCCCAACAGAGCTGAGGAAAATCTGTTACAAAGGCTGACATTTTAAAGTTGGTGGGTTGAGGGAAAATCATGCAGATCCATCTGACAAGCCATCCCTCTTGCTGTAGCAGGTGGACTTAGTGCCAGGAAAAATGAGGCAATTTCCCATTGGCTTCTGAGATTGTTTGGAGAATGTACTTGCTAAGTAATTATAATATGCCTTGGAAAGGTGGCAATGATGATAAAAAAGTGGAGTATATAGATAAATTAGGACATTATGTGTGGGTATTCAGTCACATGACCTCCAGAGTTCCCTTCCAACCTGTATCAATCTATGATTTTATGATTCTATGATAATAATAATAAATAGGATTGCACAAAGAAATATATGTGCAATGACATGCAGAAATGAATTTTTTTTACCTACACAGTTTTGCTTGATGAAATTGGATTTTCAAATTCATCCTGTATATAAAACAAATGAAAATAAAACAAGAATCCCACTCAGTACATCACATTAAATGATCTCCGGTGATCAGAGATATCTGCTGTCATTCAGTAATGGCCATTTTGATTTCCTAATTAATCTGGGAAAAAATGAGAAGCAGTGAAAAATGTCTCTCTAGCACAATTAATTAAATAAAGCAGTCATCATCATGATGACTTTTTCTTTTTCCCAAAACAAGGTTGAATAGCTTGACTTGGCCTGAAAAAAAAAAAAATTCTGACACTCAAATGTTCCCCATTTCAGAAAAAAACACCCCAATAAAATGCATAGAAAGTCTCATCCAAAGCTTGTTGAACTCAATAGTAAAACTTCCATTTCCTTCATTTGGATTATGAAACACAAAGAGGATTGGCTACATTAGGGTTAATTAACAAATGCTAAAATGACAATTTATTTTAACAAAAACATTTTCCAGTACAGATGGACTAATAGTGGTAATTCAAATAACACTGTTGTCAGAGAATGGCATTCACAATGCACTCACAGAAATGAAGCAAAACTTCCATTTCTATTTTCATCTTGAACACTGACACCTTCTAGAATGAAAACTATAAATAAGCAAAAAGGTATGTGCTACCAGGAGATAAGTGCATTTGAATGATGTGGCTACTGTTAACACAAGCAATACATTCACTTATTAGCATTTCTAAATGGTAAACAATACAGAAGAATAATGCAAAGAATGTGTTGTGGATCTCTATGAACAGATATCTTTCAACATGGAATATTATATTAATTTTGGAAGGAAATACTACAAAGTAGGCAAAATACATCCTTTACTGTTTTCTTATAACAATTTAATTTCTTTTTTACTCTCCCTCCTCCACTCTTATTATTTCTGTAGATTTCACAGAGACTTTAAATTAAGTTAAAATTGATGTATAAACATTCCCAGGCAATGCCAGTTAATGAACAAGGAGGGGTTTCATCTAACCTATTTTAGTTGCCTATTTTGGAAGAGGTGAATCACAACTGCAAAAAGGCCTTTTTTACCTGTTGGCTAAAAAAGAGAAGACAGGCAACTAGCTTAAAAATAAATACCTTCATATTAGACATCAAGGACAGTAAGATGAATCCTACCCAAAGTGCTAGACATGCAACTGCCTGAGCAACACACTTTAATGAGTGTTCTGAACAGATAAATGACGTCTGAGTAAGAGAAGATGGTAAAACTGTATTGCTTTACCCATAAAATATGATTGGAAGGGTATCATATGTCATGTGCTCTTGAATTACAAGAATGGGGCTTCAGCTGGCGTAGTATCCCATTTGAGTCCCATTGCTGGTTGCAGAAAGCAATAAAAAATTTAAAAGACTTTTTGGATGTAAAGCTTTTATACAGAATATGAAACTGTAGGATAAATAAGCCAAAACACTGGGAAAACTGTAGCTCTGTTCAAGCAACAATAGCTTGCTATCCCCAGTGTAGGAAATGATCAATAAAAATGGAAGGATTCTTGACTGAAAAGACTCACTTGAAAGCCATGTTCTAAAAAATTAACAGCTGTACTGATCTCTGTGGATGCTACCATATACATTTTTTCTGATTTGAACAGAACAGATTTGGAAAGACAACATTTCTGAACAACAAAATCAATCTAAGACTGAACGAGCTGCATAATTTCTGAAGCTACTTAGCAACTAGAATTTCAAATCAAGTTTCTCCTACTATTGCCATTCTAGGAATGTATACCCCAACGTAGGTGGCTAACATTGTAGCAGACAAAGGCATTAGATCATTCAACAGTTTTCCTTCATTTCTATTTTTTAAGATACAAAAGAGATTAAGGGCAGCATTAAGATGTTACTTGTTTTAATTAGTATGTCAATGTTCCAAAATTTAAGTAAAGTTTCCTCCAAAATATAGAGGACTGTTCTCTACATTCTGTTCTCCACTCTTGCTTCAAGCTATGTTAAATTATAGAGTTGTTTCATTCTTAAAGTGAAAATGCCAGTTTCAATGGAGTGATAGCCGTGTGAAAGCAGTAAGAGCAATTGACTCTGTTCTTTAGAAGGAAACTGAGTGCGCCATGCCACTATTCAACTTGTCTAACATAGCATGAACGGTAGCTGAACCAGCCTCTCTAATGCTGAACATAATTTCTTGGAGTTTTGAACCATGTAAAACTCCTACTGTACTCATCTACATTAAGATATAGAGTTTATAGAAAATGACTATTCATTTGAAAACGAGGTACAAACATTGAAAAACAATAACGTGTTTAAAAATGTGTTAGTGATTTGGAAAATTGTTCAAAGGTTTAGTCAAGCAAGCATATGAACAAATGCATTTGATTCATAAATTAGCTTACTGTCATTTGAAGTCAATAGGACAGAAATGTTATTTGTATTAATTTGAAATAATTTAGAGTCTTGCTGAAATTATGAATAAAAAGCTCTAGAATACAGAATACCTCTGTGTAATCTAGGCATTAGGACAAAACAGTCTCTCTATTAGTGAGGAAAGCTTTAAAGCAAAGCTATGTTAAATTATAGAGTTGTTTCATTCTTAAAGTGAAAATGCCAGTTTCAATGGAGTGATAGCCGTGTGAAAGCAGTAAGAGCAATTGACTCTGTTCTTTAGAAGGAAACTGAGTGCGCCATGCCACTATTCAACTTGTCTAACATAGCATGAACGGTAGCTGAACCAGCCTCTCTAATGCTGAACATAATTTCTTGGAGTTTTGAACCATGTAAAACTCCTACTGTACTCATCTACATTAAGATATAGAGTTTATAGAAAATGACTATTCATTTGAAAACGAGGTACAAACATTGAAAAACAATAACGTGTTTAAAAATGTGTTAGTGATTTGGAAAATTGTTCAAAGGTTTAGTAAAGCAAGCATATGAACAAATGCATTTGATTCATAAATTAGCTTACTGTCATTGAAGTCAAATAGGACAGAAATGTTATTTGTATTAATTTGAAATAATTTAGAGTCTTGCTGAAATTATGAATAAAAAGCTCTAGAATACAGAATACCTCTGTGTAATCTAGGCATTAGGACAAAACAGTCTCTCTATTAGTGAGGAAAGCTTTAAAGCAGTTTGCCAGA